AATTTTATCTGCCTTGAGGCAATCGCCAGTTAAGAATGTTTCGCAACCGTTTGCTCCAAGAGAAATCCATTCCTCAGCCTTCCTTCTGAATGGCATGTAGTGCAGGAGAAGCACATTGTGACGATGCGTGTGACTACCAAGTTTCTGGCTTCTAGCTGCCGGATTTGTAGCAGAAGTGTTTTTGTAGCTAGTTGGCGTTGAAGAATTGTAGCTCTTCCACATTAAATCTATTAGCTTCTGGCGCGAACGCCACCCTATCATACCACTCGCAACCCCATTTCGCCGCAACCCTGGATGGATCTCCCGCACTACGCTCAGTTGCATCTGTTGCAAAACTACGACGTGTCAAATGTCTGGGATGATTTCAAGAAAAAGAGAGAAACTATAATTGAGAAATTTGACTTTGAGGATTTTTTTTCGACCAAAAGTACTAGCAATCATACCAGGCATCGCCAATGACAGCAACACATCGTAGTTTATCGTCGAAATTTGGTAATTTAAAATGAATTCGTTTGTGTGAACGAAAGCAAGCAGCGTTACTGTCAGAAGCGTAATGCAATGTATGAATGCAGAGAAATTTCAGTTTATTGGAGAAAAAAGTGTCAATTAATGCACTGCACAAAGCAACATTCTGACCATTTTCCTCCTATGCAGCGTAGTCCATTTGTGATCGATCCTCCAGGTGTCACGATTGGAGACGGCAAAGGCGTTCCAGCATAGGTATCGACTTGAAGAGGTGGCACAGATGGCGGTCTCACGATCGGCACTGGATATCCTCCGGTCGGTGGAGGAGCAGTGGCGTAGCTTGGACGTACGATAATGGGTGGCTTTGGCGGTATTGCGTAAGGAGCGGGCGGGACTGGATAGGAAGGAGGAGGTGGAGGAGGTGGGGGAGGCGGAGGAGGAGGCGGTAGTGGAGGCGATGGTGGTGGTGGGGTAACGTAAGTGGGGGTAGGAGGTTGAGCATAGGTTGAAGGACCTGGGATGATTGTGGGAGGTTTCACTGGGTATTGCATTGGAATGGGAGTTGCAGGTGGAATGACAGGAACTGGAGGCAGTGGGGGTGTCACTCCTGGAGGTCCTACTGGTAGGACTGGTGACGGAGGAATGATGGGTGCAGGTGGTCCAATAGGTGGACCCAACGGCGTTGAAGGCATTGACGGAATGATTGGAGCTGGAGGTCCTACAGGTGGAACCACTGGCGGCGGTGCAGGTACTGGCGGAAGCACAGGTGCAGGAGGTAAAGGCGGTTGAATAATTGGCGGAGGCGACGGTATCGGAGGAGAAATGGGTCCAGGAGGTACGACGGGCGGGCTCACTGGTGGTGCCGGATAACCAGGAACGTATACGGGAGGTTGCGCGCCTGGAGGCTTGACTGGGTATTGAGGTGGTGAGGGTGGCCCCACGGGATAGGAAGGAGGTGGCGGTAGAGGGTAGGCTGGTGGAGCCGGTGGCGGTGGGGGTGCTGGTGGTAGTGGGGGTGGTGGAGGAGGTGGTGCTGGGTAGGACGGAGGTGGGGGAGGTGGTACTGGGTAAGACGGAGGTGGGGCAGGTGGTACTGGGTAGCCGGTGATTGGTTTGGGAGGACATTCTCCACATTCACAGCAGACTGAAATAAGAAATAACCACCTCTAGTAGTTTCAGAGGGAGTAGTGCTACAGTTCAGTTGAGCTTAATGTATTTTTGAAAGCAGTAGCTCATCCCATTACAATCGACTCCTTGAACCACAATGAATGACAAAAGACACGGTAGAGATATGAGTTTGCGCTGAGTGGATCGTTAAAATTGTTCAAAAAAACAATTTCTTTGCCGCCTATGCCACGTTTATACTTTGAGACTCGAGCGATTAGGAAATCGCGTCCCATCACGTAAACTCCTGCTAATTCAGCCACGTTGAGAATACTATTTCAATCGACCACTCCAGCTCTTCAGCGGTCAGCGGTGCTATCGCAATCGCGTACTTCTCGAACCGCGCGACATTATCGCCCGAATCGTGAAGTATGAACGTAGCCTCATTTGACCCCGCTTGTCGACGCGACATCCTTTCTATTTATAACGGGTCCATTCTACCATAGTTGGGTGGAATACGGTAGACGAATACTAGTCGTAAAAATACTATTCGAAAAACAAAAACTCACGTTGTTTGTTGATAGGTCTGGGGAATATTGGCCCAGTGGGGCCCATTTTACCAGATGGAATGATTGGGCCAAATTGTGGATATCCACCACCAATAGCACTAACTCCTGCTAGTAGAGCGCAGCAGTTGCATTTTTGACACTTTATACTCTGAAACTAGGGCTCCTTCAGTTGTTTCTCATGTCACGTCGCGCGCGGTCGCGTCGCGGTGCAATTTCCAAAACTTCGAACTGATGGAGACGTTTACTAATCTACAAAATTTCTATTGCTTTCATAGAAAGTGACGTTGAAGCAAAGCATCATGTCATTCTGAGGTCCGCCGGGACCACGCCGCTACGCGACCGTTCGCGACTGATTCTATGGAACTCGCTCAATCATGGGAGACAGCATGAGATTTCAAGACCCCATATATTTCTTTGCGATATACCCGAAAGTGATTTCCTAGAAGTACCTGTTGACTTACAGCTTGTGCCATAGGAACACTGATGGGTTTCATGAATTGTGCGCCAAGAAAAGGATTCTTCTTGGCTGGAATGAATGGAGCCGTGCCATATTGTGGCCCATGTGGTAGCGGAACCCGTGCGTATCCGAGAGCTGGAGTTGGAAAGAATGGTCCATCAGCGACCACTGGAAAGTATCAGTTATTCTAGTTGTTTGTTTCAGCAGACATCGCATTACCATTAAAAACCAAAATATTCGCACTTTCGCGACAGGCAGAGCATTTTACTTCCATGCTTCATTGTAGCAACAGTTATTGCAACTTTGCTTCACCAGCACTTGCGAGGGTCAGTCAAATGCGAGTTATCATCTAGAATGAAGCTACTTTCTCCCCTCATATGGATCTACTGCCAATCATCTGAGCCCAGGTAAAAAAGGGATTTGGGCTGCCAAGTCGGATTTCCGGCCCGTAGTCGACCACCAAACTGGTGACCAGCACTAGAGTGCGTTCCGTCCATATGTAGGCGTACACTTCATATCCCATAGGCCGGGAGGGCATGATTGCGTACCTCATTCGAAGTTGCTGCAGGATCTTTTTAGCCCTTGACACTTTCTATCTTACAGAAAGTGTCGTCCTGCCCTTCTTGTCAGGACAAAGACGTGACTTCATTTACGACCCCCACACACACGAAAACATCCCATCATAAGAAGCCATGCCCTACAGCCGGAATATTGAGTAAATGTGGTGGGAGTGGCTGCAGTTCTGGTCTCAACTTCTGCTTATGTGACTGATAGGCAATCTGTCTGCCTTATCCTTTCGCTTGAGTAGTAGGTGTAGTTTGTGGCGCCAAAGAGATGTTGCAAAGTGCGTCATAGTCACCTTTCGTGAGGAAAGAAGTTCAGAGTGTGTGCGCCGAGCGAGGCTGAGCACCGAGCTCCGGTATATCCACGCTTGCATTTTCGGAGTTGAAGGAGTTCCATGATCCACCCGGGTAGCTGAGAGCGGTGTCTTCTTTTCCTGGTGAGCGTAGCATAAAATGGTCGGTAAAAGGCCACATAGCACGGGGGTGTGACCTGGCCAAAACTCTCATACTTTTCCGTTAGACTCTCCTTTTCGTCTATACCCACTGATGAAGAGGATAAGCCCGATTACTTGGAGAGAGAGAGAAAGAAAGAAGAAATGACAGGTGACAGATGCAGTGACGAGAGGAAGCCAGTAGCAATCAGGCACGTTGAGGACTTTTTCGTACGTAAAATTTTTTTCCTGACGTTTGCTCAACTCACCGTGTTTTCCACAACACTAGCCAAAACGCTAGGCAGTTCATCGTATGTGACCCAGCAAATAGGACTGAGTAAAACCTAAGGTAAATGGGATCAAAAAGGGATAACAACCGGAGCAGTAAAGCAGAGCCCAAAACTGAGGTTTTTCGTCGGGGTGACCGAAGCAGGGCAAACTATCGTGGTACACCTGGATCGCTCCAGTCACCTCCCCCTGCGCAACATCAACTTTACAGTCAGGAGCATTCAGAGTGAAATACCAAATAACTGAAAAATTCATGCGCTGCCTGTGGCGTCAAGGAAGAGAAAGCCTAGCAAGAAAAGACGGAGAAAGCAAGTGTGATCAGTTTTTTTTCTGGAAGTTCGCGAGCAGGACAGCTCCAAGCAACAGCGAGCAAGAAAAGAGCAAGGCGACCGTAAGACAGCAACCAAAGAATGTAGCTGTAATAAGCTTTGGAGTAAAAAGTTATTCAGGGAAAAATGTGCTTATTTTCCCAGTCGGTCGAGGTAGTGTAGCTCTCCTGGGGGTGTAAGTGTTCAGAATAGTGGCAGCACAGGTTTTCAGTAGAAATGCTACAGTAATCTAGCAGTAATTCGGAACGCGAATGAAGAGTAAATCCAAAAAAAAATCGACGAAGAAAAAGCGTTCAATCGAACTGACCAATGTAGGTTACGGCTACTAACAAGGTGATCGTTCGTACAGTAGTCATCATCTTCCTGATTGGAACGGGAGAGGCGGGCAAAATGATGGACGTTCGAGTACTGCTCGTAACATGTGTGAGGCTATTTATAGCCGTAGATCGTTGGTAGTACGTGGGGAACAATGCGATCGACGTTGAATCAGATACGGATGCGGCGACGAACAATACCGGCGTACCAGAATACGATGGCACCTTTGTGGCACGAGAAGACGCTCGTACGTACGCGTACTGCGCCGACGATGACGACTCTTCAGGAAGCCTCATGTAAGTGCCCATCGAAGATAATGGAACATTCTACACTTCCGCCGACCATACGAATTGCAGCCAGCGGATGGGGACCACTTTACGCCGGGGTGATGAGAGTAAATCCGTTTGCTGCTGCCTCTCCCTTAAAGGATAAAGGATAAAGTCTTCGCCGTTGATCAATCCCTTTGTGGGATGCGGCACGCATTCTACTTCCATTCAGAATCGTAGTGGCTTATTGAATGCGATGTGGCCTATACAATGACTTGCGGTGGCCAGCCGATGTACAAGTCAGTGTTTTATCCTCCCAGACGAATCTGGTACCAATTTACCGTCCCCGGAGGGTAGAAGGCTTGGTTGGCCTGGGCGGGAGTCGACGGGATTCGAACCCGGGACCG